GCTCCTTAGAACCGCCTGTGTTTCACGTACGGGTACGTAAAAATTTTGGCAGGAAAACTGCTAACTCGGGAACAGGAAAAACTGGAAGGCTGAAATTTTAAGGGAGTGTTCCCTACTCATGTGCGACTAAAAGATTTCAAATTCAACTCTTCTAGTGGGGCCTTTTTCGCGCACCAACAGCTTTCCATTTGTCAGATCACTGAAGCCGACATCTACAACTGATATACCACATAGTTGCACAATTAACTTTCTGAACTTCGACGGCCACTCTGTAACAAATTCTAGCTACTGTGATTTTTTGCGGTCTTGCTATAGCATGAAATCGCATGATCGCAGCCTGGGTTTTTACATCATGGTCTTCACTCTCTCCTCAACTTCTTTTCCGCCACTCTTATTCTTTAATTTTATGACTGACCAAACGCTATTGATTATCAACACTTCTTAGATGAACGTACCTGAAAAAGTTTTCGGACATGCGCACGACCATTGCGCCTACGCCCGGATGGCGCTGTTTGGTTCAGCTTGGTCGATGGCGCAAATGAAACCATTTTGGACGGGTCCATCAGGTGCCGATTAGGGCTGCACGCATCACTCTTCAGAATACCGGGCATGGAACCTGAACTGCCAGATTTAACGCTTGTAATAAATCATATTTGGATCAAATGACTCAACAAAGAGACCCTGCCTTGTGCTACGTACAAACAACGAATGTTCACATTGGTGTAAATTCATATTCACAATGCGGTACATTAATAATGCTTTTTAGGTGGCAGTCACCCAGTGCATTTTGCTTGTATTTCTTCACCTCGTATGGCAGCTGCTTACAAACAGCACTGCTGGACCGCCGCATGACAATGATTTAAAGTTATACTTTGCTAGAATTTAAGAAAATATTATCAAATTGACATTAAATTACTAAGAATGTTTTGGCTCTTGAAGTCGAGAAACGCTGGCGAATAGTTGACTAAACGTTTTCTTCACTGCAAATGCCTTACTCGCCCACTATTAATAGCAGCTGTTTCCACTCTTATTTTAAAATACAAATTTTAAATTTCCGGTGTTTTAACAAACATCTTGCTACATTCCTGAGATGTATTTTTTTGTAAAAGTCACTATATTACTACAAAAATATGCAGTCTAGGGGCTTAAGCCAGTGGACCATTAACCTGGATTGCACGCTTCTGTTTTTGTTAAAACTTTCGTGCTTTTACGAATCTCACGCCTAGACATATGAAAGTCTTGGACGATCAGAACACTGCGACGATTTCGCATACAT